GTCTGGTTTGTCTTCACAGCGCAGAACAGTGCCTTGACCGAAGCGTAGAGCGCCTCAGTGTCATCGGCGAGCGCCACCAACTCAATGAGACAAGCGACGCCGCCGACTGACTCCAATAACTTTGAGACCGGCTTCGGACAGAAGGTCCTCATGCCCAGGTATCCGATCACAACCGCACCCAACGTCCTCGCTGGACCATTCAGATGAGCGGCAGAGTTGTGCAGAATTCTGACCGGTGTTATATTTTCATGGTTGGAAATGCCCAACTAGAAGCAGAATCACATTACACATTAACAAATTATCATGCATCACTACTACAATATTAAATGATGATCCCACATTATGCAACTTATAAACATATTTCGTGAATATGTGAGGATGAATTGAAGAGGCGATGACGAATGAACATATGAATTTGAATTACGGAAGCGTGTCACTGATTGCGGTTAAACTTGTTTATTCTATTAGGCATGTGCATGATAGCCATTAAAATGATCAGAACAGATGGTCAAAACTCTGAGCCGCTACTGTAGAGGTTCCGTCGTTACCCTGGAAATGGAAGAAAGTTTACCCAGCTGGAGGGAATCAGTTACTATTCTAATGCAAAAGAAGGGTAACCGCGAAGATTTTAACAGTATGCCTTCTCACATGTATTCACATTATCACTGTGCACCATCAAGGAATCTGAATGTGCAGCAACAAATGCAGCAGGGAGTATTTTGAACGCACTTTAACGCAATAAGAAAGAGCTTTACACTGAACCAACTAATCGAGTACTAGAGGGGCCACGGATTTCTCCGTGCATTGCCTTCGTCCACCACAAAGAGATGTTCGACGCAGATGAGGGCGACGTGGAGAACACTGGCAGAACAGGGAATCAACGGCCTGTTGAAGAAAGAAAACCTTGAAATACCATGTATTTTAACGCCACTCAAAACCCCTCTGGATTACAGTCAAGAATGGCGTGACACACGAGACACTTTCTCAAAAGTTTTCCATGGCCTGTTATTCGAAGTGATAGACCGAAAATTAGGAATGGAAATCAACGGCAAGCAAGCAACTAAGTCATCTCAGGTTCGCTGAAGGCAGGTCGTTTTGACTGCGAAAAGTACCATCCAGCTGCAGTAAGTGCAGAAAGAACATTATAAAGAATGGTGTTAAGTCAGTGTAAAAGTTAGTTGGTAGAAGATAAAGAATATGTAATAATACGCGCCGCAGAACTTCCAAAATAACGGTCAACTGAT